CCGACCATGAAGGAGCAGAGAGATACAGCATCGACTCATTAGACCAAAAAGTTCATTTATTCAAATAAACACCGTTAAGACAAACACATTTCGCGCAGCGCTTCGCGAGAGCCCTCAAGGCCTCCATAACCAAGTGGGTTTTGGACCCATCCTGCACGTCCAAGACGGCTGATTTCGTCTCCCTGCTGTTAGCGAGGTTGCCGCTGCTAATTTTCTTATGTTGGGGAAGAGGTGGCAACCACTAACCAGAGTGTGCAAGGTTCGGAGAGAAAAAAGTGGATGCGACAACAACTCGAAGCTCATCGCTTCACTGTTCGTCATCCCGCCCATGTACGCAGGTGCGTGGTCGCGGATCAGGTGCACACTTTACGTCAGCTTCCCTATAGCCTCTCCTCGATGTTTATCGAATGGACGCACATCATCAATTGTGTGCCCCTGTTTTGGAAAGTTGACGAGCGGAGGGGGGTCGCATCGACCCCTCCCCCTGCCAGGCCGTGTTATGAAAAATGCCCAGGGCGAGGGTTAACGCTTGGTGCCTTTTCTGCACTAACTACTATGAAACGAATCACTGCTCTCTTCTGGGCGTCGCCCATCCTATCCGAAATGGCGAACTATGCTACGAATAGAAGCCCGAATCAATCATAGAAGAGACTTAATTAATGGCCACTTACTTAATTTGCGTAAGTGGACATCCCAATAACACATCATTTAACACACCGCCTTGCAGGCCAAAATTCCAACTCCTTCATTGTTCGGCCCGAAACTTTTTGAACGCCCCTCGAAGTTACGAGCTTCAGTTTTCGGGGTCTGATGCGGTAATGACCTGGCGTTGAACCCTGGGGAATCAGGCTGCATCACCCACTCAAATCAATATACCTATGGCCTATTCTGGAGCACCGCGGCACCTTCCGAAGTCGGTGTAGGGCCTCCAGCGGCTGGTGTGGAGACGGATCGGGGTCTATTAGGGGCGGTCGCGTGGTATGCGGGACTCAGAGGCAGTTATGGACCTCTATAACCAATTGCGTTTTCGAGCCTCTTAAAATCCATTAAGGACCGGAGTCCTAGACACGTGAAACCTCATTGTCAGCTACATGCACCTACTGTGGCTAGAACCTTATTTATGTACTTGCATATGTGCTTATTTAATATTTGCTTATCTGTTTATTTTGATTTTTTATCAACTAATAAGTGACAAAAGATTGGTAGGGCTCAGCGAACATTGGTAGGGCCCAAATAAACATTGGTAAGGCTCGGGCCCTACCAGGCCTATACAAAACGACGCCCCTGAGTGAAACTTGGTAGGTAGGTAGGTAGGTAGGTACCACATAACTTGAAATTACTTGACGTAATGACATGATGTGGAAAGTGAAAATGATACCTAGGTATTGATGGAAATTTATGGACTTAGGTACGCTACAAGAAGATTGAATTGGTCAACCAATTCAAATTCAATCTACCTGTGGAGTAAGTCTACATATAGATTTTCATCAATAGTTACCACTTACCATTGAAGTTACTTGCTATCATGTTGATTTTATACATAAGAACCTCATTCATTTTATTTGTATGACATGTTTGAATGCAATTTTCTCAATAGGTGAAGAAAAGTGTTGGTAGTGCTCAACAACACATTGGTAGTGCTCAGCTGAACATTGGTAGTGCTCGGGCACTCCCAGGCCTATACAAAACGACGCCCCTGGGATGCCCTGCTCCTTCATTTCAAAATGAAAGGTGATGTAACCATTAACAACACCTGAGCCTAGTATCCACCATCTTCACACAACTATATAGCCGCCAAGATAAAGCAAAAAGGGATACCGGTATGGACTCTAGTCATGTCATGGCAGGCACAAGCACAAGGTAGGTGGAAAAAACAAAACAAAACAAGAAGACAAGTGACAACAATATGGGTGGGTGGAGTTCTTCTGGCTGTTTACTTAACCTGATCTTTCACATATTAGGGAGAACAATATTTAGCTTACCTGTTGTAGACACACAACGACAACCATCCTTGAAACTGCACGTGCAACAACAATAACGCTCAAAGATATTCCGGCGTGCAAACAGCTGCGCCGAAATTGTATCTCAGTCGTGCTTCCAAATCGACGTGGCACATCGCTGCCAGATCTTTTACTGGACGAGGAAGGCCTTTGAGTATGAAGCAAACTCTGGTGGATAAAATATGATCTAACAGAATCGTTTAATTGGCCGGGTTAGGGTAAATCTGGCTTAGGCTAACGTGCTCCAAAGTTAGTATAAACTCGGGTCTGGGCTGTTCCTATCAAAATACACTTGTTTTGACCCGCGCCCCGCTGGGCTATTCAGCCATACGCGCCCTGCTGGGGGGGGGGGGGGGCAGATTCTGCCCCCCTGTCTAACTTCCGAACCGATGGTCGTAGAAAGACGGGGAAAACGGCAATCGAAAGCTCTCAACAAGGCGGATCTTAAGAGCCCAAATTTTTTTTGCTTAACCCACGAGCCGCTGGGGGGGGGCATAAAGTTGCCCCCCCCCTTTACGTTTTGTGAAATATCTCCGAAACCTGATGAGCTACGAACGTGAAACTTGGCATAGCTTCAAATGAATACCTAGGCAATGTTTGAGGAAAGTTTGGTGTTTGTAGCACCTAAGTTGACGTCACAGTGACGTCATAAAGTTTTGTAGTTTTCCGATATGGACCGTTTCTGATGACGCTGAGCATGAAACTCGACTGTAAATGAACTAGACAGCACCTGCTGTCATCCTAAAACATCTTACTACACTTCCATCTAGTTTCTGACCAATAATCGGCCCTTTATTTTCGGTCCCACATATGTGATGTATCGTGAGGAATACGAGAGTCGCAAATCTATAATTTCACTTATGACGTCACTGTGACGTCATTTCAAATGGGATTGACACCAAATTTGGATACAACCTCGGCTAGGTATTCAGGAAGATGTGTGCAAAGTTTCGCTTCTCTATCTCTTCGCGTTGCGACGATATCGTCGCAGAAGTAAAGGGGGGCAACTTTATGCCCCCCCCCCAGCGGCCGGCGGGTGGCGCGGAGGCCCAGCGGCCGCCGGGTTAAGTAGGTCAGAGGTCAGGTCAAGGTCAGGTCAAGGGTACAAAATGCAAGTTTCTACAGTATCGGCCTTGCACCGTAGTTGCCGAAGAATGGACTGAGACTGATTGCCCAAAACGTGTTCTTAGACTACCAAGACAATATTCGTTGCACACAATGTCATTCAAAGGTCAAGGTCAAGGTCAGGTCAGGTCAGGTCAGGTCACCAAAAACAAAATATAGAAAAGGGCATGTGCGACACATGCTTTATGGGTCATTTTACTCATGGAATTGAAAAGGCACACTCAATAAGTGATATGGACCACCTCTGGATGAATTTCAGGTCGAGGTCAGGTCAAGGTCAGGTCAAGTGAGGTCAAATTTTGAAGTTGGTTGTTAAGGCCTAAAAAGGTGTCTATCCGATGCAGTTCTTCACGGCGAATCGAATGGTCCTATTTTTGTTTCCGTACGAGGTCTAGAACTTCCAAAAAAATCATTTTTCAAAAAAAATTTGTGTGTCGTGACGTCATAAAATTTTGAATAACTCCCACATTTTTGAACCGATTCTTCTAAAAATTGGTATGTAGGTGCACATAGACCACTTCTTTGACATCTATTCCGGTTTTTTCGATAAACTCAAAATTGTGGATTTTATAAATATTTTCCCGAAAAAGTCAGTTTTTTTGGAAAAAAAAAAAATTTGGGCCAAAATCCAAAATTTTCAAAAAACCGAGATAGCCATTTGATAGCCAAAGTAAAATAACGTATAACCTTTTTTGTTACGTCTTGATTCCTTTAAAAATGAAGATGTTATCGGCGTTTGAAATTTTGCCGTTTTTGAGGCGAAAATGGCGAACATGACGTCACTAAAACGTCAATTTCTCAAAAAAATTCCGACGGATTTCGCTCAAATTTGTGTCAAATTGATGTTTGATAAGGTACTGAAAGTTTGACGTCGCTGGCGTAACGCGTTTAGAAGTTATTGGCGAAAAACGGGAGGGGGGGGGGGCAGATTCTGCCCCCCCCCCCAGCGGGGCGCGGGTTAATTTATGCTATCCAAAAAGTTAGGGTAAATTAAAATGAATTGAAAATCGGGTTTAGGCTAACGAAAAGTTAGCCTAAACCCGTTTCACAAAAGCACTACCAATGTATTCTTCGTGAAGTCAGCTTTCATATGACACCCATATTGCCTATGATTCACGACGTTCTGGGCAGATGTCATTTTCATGTCAGGTCATGACCACGTTGTTGACCTCAGTTTGAGGTCAGCGGGTCCGATATACCAACCAAATCACATACCACTATTGAGAGCATGGATAAGACATCTCTGAGGGAAAAAAATCAGATTTTTTTTTTAATAGGGCAAATTTGAAAGGTCACGGGGCAAGAAAAGGTCACATGGTCATGAGGTCAAAAAATGACGTTGGAGTTTCAGTCACATTTTTGCTAGATGCACCAGCCTATGCGCTTATTATTTCATACATAACTTTTCTTGATCCGGTCAACCGTTGTAGAAATAAAAAATATTTTATATTTCAATATTCCGGAAAACCTACAAATTTCGATGACCCATATTCAATGACCCCTGTGACATTAGGACTAAACATTAACTGGGACAAAGTAGTGTCCATTGGTCACATTGCATGCCAAGGTTGAGCAAAATCGGAGAGGTCATGGTGAACTATTGGGAAAAATTAGGTGATTTGTGGTGGAACTGCCCTTTACATATTGGTTCTTAAGTTGTCGGGTGGGGGCGATTACCCCTTCCCCATGGCAAACGGTGTGTGGCGAAATACTCCAGCAACTCTGGAGTTACATGTGACCGGATACACATGATTTGCTTTGTTATTTAGGCAATAGAAGTGGGATTGGGAGGAGTCAGATAGCTAAACAAGAAAAATATAACCGACGAAAGGTCTCTAGGAGAGCCCTTATTCGTATATGTGGCTTTGTTTACAGGCCATTAGTGACCTCATCATGGCAAAAGACGAAAACCTGAAGGCCACTGTCGACGAAAATCCCACTCGGGTGTTCGAAGAGCAGGGTGAGCAGGGTGAACCCAAGGACTGGAGGACGATAATCGACAAGTCACTGGACGAAGGCTCCTTCAAGAGCTACAAGGACGCGACCGTATCTCAGCTGCTGCGGTTTATTCGGAATAAGGTGAGGATTCATGTGTGACGGTGTCTATTGCCCGCGCTCTGATGGTAGTCGGTTCTGCTCGGCACCACCTGGGCTATTTCCTAACCCAAGACTGCATGGGGAGGTGTCGGATCCAGCACACTCTTGCTATCTCAAAAGCAATGTTGGTATCGACAAAGGTGAAAAAGCGTTCAAGCTGTCGCAAACGAAATTTTCAAAAGGCATAGCTGTCGCATTAAAAACATGAAATTAACCCGGCACCGCCTGGGCTATTTCCGTACCCACGACAGCCGGGGGGGGGGGGTCGGATCCGACCCCCCCCCTGTTATCTCGAGAACCAATGGTCGCATCGAGCCCCGCGAGGCGGCGTTCGAAAGGTCTCTACGAGACCTTTCCAAAGCACTCTTAAGATTTTAAGATTGATGTCAACTTTCGGGTCAAGGTCAGGTCAAAGGTCAAATTCTGGGGTTTTGCATGATTAGGCTTACGGACAGCGGAATCGATAGCTGCTGCTCGAAACTCACCAAAAATGACCTCAAAGGCCTAGTGAAGGTACCATGTGCGTATATAGGTCATACTAAGCACGGGTCAAGGTCAGGCCAGGTCACGAAAGGTCACGGTTTTCACTTTCTGCTACATGGGCGTGCAACACATGTTTTATGGCTTATTTTTCACGCCGAATCTGATGGTAATGGTTATATGTGACCCAAATTCACTTTGCTGGTGATAAGTGTGCATTGAAAGCATAAAAAATCGTTTATACTAAACGAGGGCTGAGAAAAAAGGTCAATTTTTCAACTTTTTATTTTTGACAAAAATGCACTTTTCTAGACGAACTTTGTCCCAGGAATCTAGTGGTGCCATTTGTTTTCATATGCGATTTTCAGAAGTGCCTCTAATTCACGAAAATGCTTATGACGTCACCATGCCCTATGCATGTTGGAGCTATTTTTACAATTTGGGGGGTCAAAAATCAAGATAGAAAGTTGAAATTTGGGACATCTTATGTTCTAATAGAGCTCTATAACATATATTCCTGTTTTTTTTTTTTTGGAAATTCTCAAAATTTTGGATTTTATTAGCTGTTTTCCAAAAAATGTAGTTTTTTGAATTTTCAGGGGTGAAAAACGCATTTTATGGAAAATCTGAGATAGCCATTTTAAAGAACTCGTTGAGCTGCGTCTATTCATGTCCTTAATTTGCAATTTGCTTGAAACCCTGATTTTTTGGCAATTTTTAAATATTTACCACTTTTTGACTAAAAACGCGATGTAGTTACATCACTAAAATCGATATATCTCAATTTTTTTTTTGTTCTTAACAATTACACAGAAGACGTCAAATTGATGGGGGAGAGGGTATGCCAAGTTTCAAGTTGATAGCGTAAGCGGTTCTTGAGTTATTCAAGAAAAACGGAGGGGGGTTCGGATCCGACGTCGCGGGTTAACCCGCGCCCTGTTTATAACGCGACCTGGTGAAGGGGGGGGGGCTATTTCGCCCCCCTCGTATCTCCAAAACTACTGGACGGATCCGCAAAATTTAAACGGCGTTCGAAAGGCCTGTCAAATTTGTCAAGGAAAACCAAATTTCATTAACCTCGGGGTCACCGATGACGTCACAGGTCAGGTCAAAGATGGAATGTTTCACCGTTTACGGGTCTTCTAGGGAATGCGCTATAACACCGAGGAAAACGCATTTTGTCGAGAATCAGCGATAGGGCGTCAGTTGCCTAGTAGATATGTTGCTATTAGAGGTCACTGACAATACCAGGTCAGGTCAAAGGTCAGGTCACCAAGGGTCACAGGTCAGGTCACATGAACCCAACTTTACTAAGGTTGTGTGATGCATGTTTTATGGCCAATTTTTCATTTCCAACTCAATGGTTTTGGTTATAGGACTATCAGGTAAGGCTTAGGTCACTTTCTGGTGAAGGTCAGGTCAAGGTCAGGTCAAGGTAAGGTAAAAAAGGTCAAATTTTAAAGTTGATAGTTTTGCATAAAATGGGTATTGGTTCGATGCAGCTTGTCACGGGGAGTCTAATGGTGGTCTTTGTTTTGCGCTACGGGGTCTATAATTGCTAAAAATTGAGTTTGAAAATTTGACGTCATCAATTATGAACAGTTTTTTTCGCTATAACTTCGCCAAAAAAAGAGGTATCAATCTCAAATTTGGTATGTGGATGGAACGCGGTAAGGACTATCACATATATTCCGGTTTTTGCAAAATTCGAAAACTTTTTGGATTTTCCGATCCAAAAATCTATTTTTTTATTTTTGGGGGTCAAAATCCAAAAAAAAATCAAAAATCCGAGATAGCAGTTTTGTAGCCCTGTCAATTCTACAGCTTTTATGTCCTTATCATTTTTCTGTATTTGCAAAGCTATAGGCCTGACAGCTCTTCCCGCAAAACCCTTTTTTTGGTCGAAAACGGCAGAACATGACGTCACTCTGACGTCATTTCCGGCCAACTTATCATAGCCTTTGGAAAATTTTGTGTCACAGTGTATAAAATTGATGTCCGAGAGGGTACTGAAAGTTTGGTGACGATCGGCGCAGCGGTTCTGGAGATATATCGAAAAGTCTGGAGGGGGGGGGGGGTCAAAAAAATAGCCCCCCCCCCCCACCAGGTCGCAGGTTAAGTTCAGGAAATACAGGATGTCTCAAAAAACGAGACAATAAGGAATCGTTATATCTCGAAAAGTAATTATGCTAGAAAAATATTTAATATGTCATTCAAAAGAGAATTGTTGAAAGATTTTTATGGTGCGTCAGTTTTTATTGTCCGAGATGAATTGCGACCAAGCCACGTGCAAACATCTCGTGCCCCTCGCCCCCCGTACTGGGACGGCTGGGACCACTTCTGCACCTGCCATCTATCGGGCAGTGTTTGGAACTACAGCGGGAACTGGCCGGCCGGGCCTACCGGGCTAAGGAGGCGAATGAAGCGGTGTAAAACCAGACGAATTTTACGCTTGTAAAGCAAAAAACGAAAAATGTACACTCACCAGAGTGTTCAGCAAAGTACTGGGAACAATATGGATATAATTTAAAGCTAGTACGATGCCAACTGTTGGTTCCCTAGGGCAGTATTTACATACTTGTAGGAGACAGAACTTTAGCATTACGGGAGCTTCTAAACTGCGCCTGCAAAGTACTTGATTGTAAATATTTTCATTTAGAGGCAAAAAAATAAAAATGTACAGTCAGAGCGTTGTTCCCAATGCTTCTAGGTACACAATGAGCATAAATTTAGCTCGAAATGTCATCACACATTGGTTCCCAGTCCAGTTTAAAACGACACTTTGTGTCGCAGAGCCTATCTCTTCCAATGGATGGCGGCTGGGTGGCGGTTATAGTGCTGGACAAGACAATTCTTGAGTGAAATGAAATCATTTGCTTTCAAAGAAGAACTTTGAAGAACTTGTAATAATTGACAAATGATCGTTAATTACAGTGTATAATTTCAAGTTCATGGCAAATGAAAATATTTTAAACAATACTAGTGAACTCCAGTACCGCCACGCGAGAAAGCAAGTACTCGACGCACGGTCTGCCCGCCACTTCTGAAAATGGTCCGCGGCCGGCCGGCCGCGACCCGACACGCCCAAAAAAAAAATTATTACGAGCGAGCGAGCGAGTTCATACTGAATTAACCCTCGCCGGCCGAGGGGGGGGGGCGGGTGCCGCCCCCCCACAGGGTTTTTTTCGCGATAGCTCCGAACACGCTGGCGATAGAGAGCTGAAAGTTAGCATACCTGACCTTTGATCCAAGCCGCATCTTTTGACACCAACTGCATTTTTGGGTCAGGTCAGGTCACTGACCTATGACGTCATAAGTGAACCTCTGCACGGTCTTCAGATGTCGCAACTTCGCAACGCCCTCACTGCCAGAGGAGATGTCACAGGGAAATGAAACTTGCAGGATCTAGTATCCATTATGAGTCTCACAACTTCTATATCTCGGATTTTTCCTAAAGGTCATATGAGGTCAGGTCATTTTCGTGACCTCACCATTATAAGTCAATGGGGAAAAATGAAAACTGCTATTCTGGCGCCGGGAACGATCTCCAACTATCTCAAGCACACAAAATCGTGATTTGATGCACTCCTTGCAAGGTTAGATGCGTCACTTTTGCAATGTTGACCTTCCGTGACGTCATTTATGACGTCATCAAGGTCATATTAGTTTTTCGTCAATAACTCTTAATCAAATTGAGCTAGCGAGTCGAGAAAGCCACCAATGGACTCAGGAAGACCTGTCGAATCGAATGATATGCGACATGACCTCTTTCGACCATCTTCGTGACCTGGGGGTGCTGACCTGACCTTGACCTGAGGTCAACACCCTAAGTTGACCTGACCCGAACAAAAAGTATATCATTCGACGCCCTGAGCGAGGCGAACACGATGCTGCCAAAATCACGGCTCTGCGGCCGTTTTTTGCGAAGTTATTCACCAAAAACTGAACCGTACCCTGGGGCACTTGACCTGACCTCAGAGGTCACCGGTTGACCTAGGACCTTAAAATCGGGTACCAATCTCTGCGTCTTGTAACGGCGCACACGCTCGTTTTTTCCGCGACGCGCTAGCTCCACCAGGGGCGAAATGGCGAGGGGGGTCGTACCCGCCCCCCCCCCCTCGGCCGGCGCGTATGTAGAAAACCAATAGGTCCGGCGAGGGTTAAGGCAAAATCCTGAGTATGAGCGGCCGGCCGGCCGGCCGGCCGGCCGTGGGGACGCTCTTCAAAAGCTAATATCTTAGGAACGGGACATCCGATTGATAAGCGGTCCTCTTTACTGAATGTCACTTGGACGTAAAAGTTCTGTGGTGTGATGGCCACCATGCGTTCTTGCCAACCACCGCACGTGGCGCGTGGTAAAGTTGGACATTTTTTTAAGAACCCCCAAAATTGCAACCTCAATAACTGCACAACGGTTGGGCCGATTGAATTGAAACTCGGTACACAGTTAGGTCTCTATCAGATAATTCATCTGCATGTTTTAAGGTTGGGGTGCTCAACAG